CACTGGCGATGGCTTTCTTTTCTTATGTCCGTCTCCAGTCATCCTTCCTCCTCCAGCTTCCTGAGATCAGAGGCAGCAATTTCTGTAGCCTGTGTGTGTGTATGTGTGTGTGTGTATCATAGTTTCTTTCCTATTACAGCCCCCACAATGGCACTGACATGATGCAACTGAAGCTTCATAATATAAGTTCATAAAGCTCCAGTGAACAACTTTAAACTTAAAAACACTCACAGCCTAAAAGTTGAGGGTTATGCTTATTCAATGGGAATGTTTATGACTTAAGCCCAGGAGACAGCATCTCAAGTAACCCTGAGCAAACTGCTCAAGGAGATGAATTGGAGGGGGGAAGGAGGGGGGAGCCAAGTTATATAGAAGTTTTGCAACAAAGGGCAGGTAATCTGAACATTAAAAGATTATTGCTAGTTAAAGGAAACCAGATAACCCAAGTTAAGGAATTGCTTTTCTATGTATGGGAAGATGCAAGAGTCTGGGTTCACTGAAATCACTCTTTTGATATGTGACTTAGTTATCTGGGGCCAGAGTTCCGAGTTTCCTCGGGGTTCACTGTGGCTGCAGTCTGATGATTGCTAGATGGCAGGTATTCCTTCCTTTCTGAGTTCCCTCTGGGCTCACCAGCTCACCATCCGTGGTGGCTGCAATTGCTGATGACCGTGACATACTTCATGTACTGATTTGGCAGGAATTATTCCATTTCTCCACTTCCCTGGTGGCTCCACGATAAAGAATCTGCCTGCCGTTGCAGGAGACACAGGTTCGATCCTTGGGTCAGGAAGATCCCCTGGAGGTGGAAATGGCAACCCACTCCAGTATTCTGGCCTGGAGAATCCCATGGACAGAGGAGCCTGGCAGACTATAGTCCACTGGGTCACAGAGAGTCAACATAGCTTAGCGACGCATGCATGCTAAGTCTTTTCAGTCACTTTGTGACCCCCCTGTAGCCTGCCAGGTTCCTCTGTCCATGGGATTCTCCAGGCTAGAATACTGTAGTGGGTTACCATTTTCTTCTCCAGGGCATCTTCCTGACCCAGAGATCAAACCTGCATCTCCTACACCTCCTGTTTTGGCAGGCAGGTTCTTTACCGTTAGTACCACCTGGGAAGCCCCTGGCTTAGCAAAAAACCACAACAATGGAGTGTGACTGAACAACAGCAATTGAGTATATCAGGCTTATTAAGTCTTATTACCTCTTCCAACCACGTAGAGTAAGAACTATCATCTGCATTTCATAGTTGAAAAAATGGAGACTTAGAAAAGTCAAGAAACATGTCCACCATCACCTAGCTGGTGAGTGGCTCCCTGGAGCCCCCATCACACTTACCTACATGGGCCAGCTTCAGTCTGGCTCACTCTTGACAACTTTTCTCCAACTAGTCTGGTGTTCCATCCATCAGTCCTCCCAAATCAGCCACTGTCTACAAACCCTACTCTGGATCTGGGTCCCTGAAGGGACTCAGAAAGCAGGCAAAACATAGCCTGCCATGGAGGTACTGAGGAGACAGGACAGACACACAGAGACTGGACTTCCCTGTGGTCCAGGGGCTAGAACTGCATGCTCCCAGTGCAGGGGGTCCACAACTAGATCCCACACGCCACAACCAAGACGCAGTGCAGCCAAGAAATACATTTTTTTTTTTAAAGAAGAAAACAATAAAAGACGCACAGAAACTTAGCACACAACCCCTGGGCGACCCCTGCCAAGCCACTTCCCTTCTCTGAGCCTCAGTCTCCTTATCTGCACAATGAGGGAGTCACACTGCAAGGCTGCCAGTACACAATCTTCCCCATCTATGATCACCTGAGTGTAACCCATTTAATTACAAGGTGGGGATGCTGAGGCCCAGGGACTAGGGCTGTCCCAGAAAAGAGTGGAGCAAAGCCAGAAAATAAAACTCGAAGATTTGACCCTTAGAGAAACTGGCTCTGTTGCTAAGAATAGCACAAACACTCAAGAATGAACCCAGTGGGGGCCCAGCGAGGGGAGAAGGGGTGCATTTACTGCTCCATCCTTTTGGATCTGACGAAGCCGGAGAGAGTCTCCCCGGTGTGGATGTCCCCTTAGTGTCTGGGCGCTCGAGGAAAAGTAAGCTGGTTGCTTCCAATCCTTTCATTTCCAGGGGACCTCAGGGTGCCCAGAGGGCAGAAAGGCTACAAAATGAGAAACTTCTAAGCCTTTCTCTTAGGAACAAGAAAGAGTGCTTGAGTGTGGAGAAGGGACGGGACTGAGGTACCTCCAGGGTAGGAGATGAGGAGCTGAAGCGATTTGGAGGCTGCCTTTCCCTCAGGGCATCTGGGTAGGGGGTAGGCGTACTCGCAGCTCCTGGAGTGGTTGCTCTCCGGGCCATCCTACTCCAGGGGTCAGGGTGTCATCCAAACTTTTCACTGATCCAGCCCCATCTTCAGTGCCAGAACAGGACACTCAGACTGTAATTGCGGCTCCACCATCAGAGGTTTATTTTTCCCCCATCCCTTTAAGAAGGTGCCTATAAATCACAGTGTAGATAAGGTTAGATCAGGATTGTGGTAGGCTGAATAATGGCCCCCTAAAGAGATCCACTGGGCTTCCCAGGAGATGCCTGTCAACACAGGGGATGTGGGTTCGATCCCTGGGTCAGGAAAATCCCCTGGAGAAGATAATGGCTATCTACTCCAGTACTGCTGCCTGGACAGGAGGGGCCTGGCAGACTACAGTCCATGGGGTCGCAAAGAGTTGGACACTAAACAACAACAATTTAAATATATCTTTTTAGATATAATTTATAGTAATTCATTGTAAGCAGAAAACATGATTGCTTCTCTTCACTGGTTCTTGGATATTTGGATTAAAAATTCATTTTAAAGGGACTTGCCTGGCAGTCCAGTGGTTAAGATTCCATGCTTCCAATGCAAACGGTGCAAGTTCCATCCTAGTCAGGAAGCTAAGATCCCACATGCAGTGTGGTGCAGCCAAATAAGTATAAAAATATTTTTTTAATAAAAATTATTTTAAGTTAGTGGTGAAAGCCAAAACTATAATGAACCAGACTTGGCAAGGCCTAATTTTATATTGGTGATACGAAACTTTTGCTTTTGTATTTGAAAATTAGTTTTAAAATCTCTATATCAGACGTCTACTGATTGACACCGCCCTTCCTTCAGTGCATCTAGGAAGGAAGTATACTTTAGTAAACCCACTCCAGTATTCTTGCCTGGAAAATTCCATAGACAAAGGAGACTGCAGGGCAACAGTCCATGGAATTGCAAAGAATCAGACATGACTGAGCAACTGAGCGAGAACGCATGTGTCCTTTAGGATATAGGACACAAAGACTAATGTATTTACTAGGCAAGGAGAAAAAATTAGCAAGTTAATTCCTCTCACCTGTGTGTTTACTTCCATCCAAGTGAAGAATTATTTGTTCCATTCTGTCCAGAATGGGGGCATCTACATAGAAATATGTGTCTATTTTGCTGCTGCTGCGGCACTAACTTATCAACTTCATATGCATCATATAAACAGCTCATAATTCTAGGTCTTCTAACAAGTCAAATACACTAACCATTAGCTTTGGAACCAGATGTGTAAATAAAAACAAAACTCATGGTTTTGTTATCATTCTTCCTTGAGAAGGAGGTAGCATGTGAATTTCAGTTTCAGTATGTCTTGGATATGTTTGTGCTTTACATGTCATTATTATTCACAAACATGATGTTTATCACACGAATTATTTGATGGGAATTATCACTGACTCTACAGATCACTATCTGGAATAATGACTGTTCTGACTGTAATTCTGCTGATGAGCAAAGGTTTGAACAGTATCATATAAAAACCTAACCAGCTCAGGCTAAGGTTCAAGTCATGCTCTAGGAGGGAAGAAACTTTGTATCCTACTGTAAGATAATCACTAAAGGAATGTTGCCTATAAACTAGTCATACACAAAGACCATAGGAATCCTTCCCCCCAGGTAATGAGCATTAAGCTAAAATACTTTTGTTTAGCTCACAGAAAACATCCTGACCAGGCCCATCTGTAAATAGCTATAGGAAGGAAGAAATTAACACATTTCCACCAAAGTCTGGCTGGAACAAGGTCTTTACTTTCTCCCTTGAGTATAAAAGAAGTCTGAATTCTAACAGAGAAGATGGCTTTTTGGGACGCTAGTCCATCTTCTCCAACTGCTGGCTTTCTGAATAAAGTCACTATTCCTTGCCCTAACAACTCATATCTTTATTTATTGTCCTATCTTATGGTGCGCAGTTGGAGCCTGGACTCAGGGGTAAGTGTTGTCGTTAAGTATTAACTAGTTGCTTTCGGAAGCAACTAGTAAATGTTGACTGGATCTCACTGCATAATGAGTCAAGTACAGAGCATGGACAGTCACTAGATACTCCGAATGGTCTTTACCATTATTTCCTGGTGACAGGACTGTCGGCTTTGTGGAGGTACCAAGATGGGGCTCAAAGGAGTATCATCTGTTCTACCCTGAAGAACGGCAATACAAACCTAAATTTGAAACACAGACTATAAATCATTAACCAGTCCTGTTAATGAGTTAGTTAAAATCATTAACTAATTCTGACATAGAATTGGGAGAGCAACCAGAGACATCACTGAAGGCATGAACTGGACCTCCAAGGAGAAAAGATGAACATATATACACTACCATGTCTAAAATAGTAGGGAAGTCTGGTGCGCTGCAGTCCATGGGGTCGCAAAGAGTCAGAAGCGACTGAGCAGTTGAACTGAACTGATGTCTAACACAGATACTGATGAGAACCTACCATGGCGCACAGGCTCTCTCCTCAGTGCTGTGTGTGACCTCAATGGGAAGGAAGCCCAAAAAGAGGGGATGTGTGTACACGTGCTGCTGATTCACTTTGCTATACAGCAGAAAGTAACGTTGGAGAGCAGCTATACTCCAATAGAAATTAATCTAAGAAAAAGAGCAAGAAAGAGGATGCCACCTAAGAGAACATATGCCACAAGTGAGAGGTGGACATGTGCGGTGGATCTGAGGCCTGCGGTTGGATCTGGCAGCCACAAGCAGCTTGCATGCTGCTGAAGTAAGTTGTTATTGTTGTTATTCAGAGTCTACATCGTGTCTGTTTTGTGACCCATGGATTGCAGCACACCAGGCTTCCCTGTCCTTCTGTATCTCCCAGAGTCTGCCCAAGTTCATGTCCATTGAATCATCTCCTCTGTGCTATCCTCAGGGTAGAATATGTATAAACACTGCCAGATACTATTCTTAAAGGCCCAGCTGCTGTTGCTTGTAGATGGGCGCTGATAACCTAGACTGCCCAGGCATGGTTCTGAGTGTCATCCTGGAGTTCCTTCTTTCCAAGGCACAGGATCACCCATACGGAGTGTTCTTTTACAGCCCAGGCTGGTACTCACACGCAAGGGGTGCATTTTAGGATTTGGTCCTAAATGGGGATTCTTTGGGGTCCGTGGTAATTTAGGATGAGTGTCCTCAAAGACTGTTTCCCATAATATGGTGGAGAACTTGTCTGACCTGTCCTGGGTCAGTTTCAGCCCATGAAGTGAGTTTTTCCTTGCCTGGGTCCTCTCTGGACTAGGGAGCCCAGGACCACATCTCACTCTTCTGTTATATCCTCCTCCCTATTTTGCCCAGTGATAGGCCTAGAAGGATATACCCTAGACCTGAACCAAATTGCAAAGTTAAATGGATGCCAACGGAAGGATTTCATGGGACTTGATTTTTTATTTATTTATGGCTGCATCGGGTCTTCATCGCTGCCCGTGGCTTTCCCTAGTCGTGGTGAGTGGGGGCTAGTCTCTAGCTGCCGTGCACGGGCTTCTTATTGCAGTGGCTTCTCTTGTTGCAGAGTACTGGCTCTATGCACCTGGGCTTCAGAATTGTGGTGCATGGACTTAGCTGCTCTGTGGCAGGTGGGATCTTCCCGGACCAGGGATCAAACGCATGTCCTCTGCTTTGGCAGGCAGATTCTTAACAACTGGACCACCAGGGAAGCCACTGGTGCAGTTTTAATAGCAACCTATGAACTTGAGAAGCTAGGGAGTAAGGGAGAATGAGTCTTCCTACTATTTACATTGTCAGAGTTGCTCTCCTTCCGTAGACTTGACTTGAAATCACTGCTAGACACATTTCTTGTCTGCTGCTGCTGCTAAGTCACTTCAGTCGTGTCCGACTCTGTGCGATCCCATAGACGGAAGCCCACCAGGCTCCCCCGTCCCTGGGATCCTCCAGGCAAGAACACTGGAGTGGGGTGCCATTTCCTTCTCCAATGCATGAAAGTGAAAAGTGAAAGTGAAGTCGCTTTCTTGTCTAAAGATAGGTAAGTAACTACCCTCAAACAGACTGGGGGTGTCTCTAAAGCTGCCAGGACCATATCTAAAGTTTTAATGGCAATGAGCCACTGATTACTTTTTTGCCTCCATTCCACCTGGGGAAAAATCACCCAAGTTGACTTTACTCTGAGGCCAATGGACAGATATGTGAAGGGCCTCCAGGCCATGTGGGCTGCTGGACGTGGACAATGGGACATCTCAGATCCGAATACCTGGAAGACAGTCCAGGCTGGCTTTGTGCTCACACACAGTGCAGGACAAGGCAGAGACAGCCCACCCAGCCGCAGCCTCCCTGTGTGAGGATGGCCGAGCTGGGGGCTGTTTCCTCCGCTGCAGACCTGGACGTGGCGAGTGTGACACCATAGAAGCTGCCCTGACATTCAAGTCTGAACAGGCACAGGTGGAAAGACTAAACCACCTGCCCCTTCCTGAGGGTATTAGGGCAGACGTGCAGCTCTAATGTCGCTTCCAGTAGCAAGGACAACTTCTTATCCCTTTGGTGGCATTTGCCTCTTTTTTTTTTTTTTACCATTTATTTTTATTAGTTGGAGGCTAATTACTTTACAATATTGTAGTGGTTTTTGCCATACATTGACATGAATCAGCCATGGATTTACATGTATTCCCCATCCCGATCCCCCCTCCTGCCTCCCTCCCCACCCCATCCCTCTGGGTCTTCCCAATGCACCAGCCCCGAGCGCTTGTCTCATGCATCCAACCTGGGTTGGTGATCTGTTTCACCCTTGGTAATATACATGTTTCGATGCTGTTCTCTCAAAACATCCCACCCTTGCCTTCTCCCACAGAGTCCAAAAGTCTGTTCTGTACATTTGTGTCTCTTTTTCTGTTTTGCATATAGGGTTATCGTTACCATCTTTATAAATTCCATATATATGTGTTAATATACTGTATTGGTGCATTTGCCTTTTGTAGATGGGCACTGGGGCTTCTCTGGTGGCTGAGTGGGTAAAGAATTCACCTGCCAATGCAGAAGATGCATGGGTTTGATCCCTGGGTCAGGGAGATCCACTGGAGAAGGGCGTGACAACCCACTCCAGTATTCTTGCCTGGGAAATCTCATGGACAGAGGAGCCTGGCAGACTACAGTTCATGGGGTCACAAAAGGGTTGGGCATGACTGAGCGACTAAACAACAACAACAACAGACATGGCTGTCCCTTGTGCCATCATCAGATCTAACTTCTCTTCTAGAAAGTACTATTCTACCATTCTTCCCTTTTTTTTTTTTTTTCTGTCCTTGTGGCGATTTGTTTTTGTTTGTTCCTTGTTCATTTTGTTCCAGGCACACTGGTTGGGGAAGTAGACTGCGGAGGCCCAGAACCTCTGGGCTGTGCGTGGGCTGCTATCTCTGGTGCACAAGTCTCTCTGCAGGGCCTGCCCCTCCCTCGCAGCTGGCAGCTGCAGTGGGGAGATGCCTGCAGTCTGGATCTGCAGTGGTCCAGCTGAGGGCTGGCTCCCTGCCCCTGCAGATGGTCAGGATGACGCCTTGGCCGTGTCAAGCATCCCTCATGTCACCCCACGCATGTGGGGCCCTGCAGACCGTTTCTTCTCTCCTCCCGAGGCTTCTTTTTGCTGCTCTTTGGTTGAGAATGAAAGGCTCGGAGAGTGCACCCTGTTATCACGTGACAGTCACTTACAGCCGCAAGCACTAAGTCAGGGGTCAGGAATGAACCCAAAAGGAGGCATCGCTGGCAAGGACTGAGCACACTGCTCTAGCTAAGGCCAGGCAGGCAGAGGTGCACGTGGAGCCCAAGAGCCTTCCCCTTGGTCTCCTGGGCCTCAGTTTCCCCATTTGAACCAATGTCCTCAAATGACAGAGGATGATGGCTGGATGGCATCACCAACTCAGTGGACATGAGTTTGAGCAAACTCCAGGAGACAGTGAAGGGCAGGGAAGCCTGGCGTGCTGCAGTTCTTGGGATCACAGAGTCCATGGGGTCACATGACTGAGCGACTGAACAACTACAACCTCAAACAACTTACCGCTCTCAGAGCAGAATACTTGGAAAAACCTAAAGACATAAACAAAAAATCACCCACAGTTCTCCCATTAATATCTTTCTGTTTCCATCTATTTTGCATAACTGAAGCTGCCTGCCTATACAATTATGTATCCTGCTTTTAAACAATGTATGTGTGTGTTCGGTCACTCAGTCGTGTCTGACTCTTTGTGACCCCATGGACTGCAGCCCTCCAGGCTCCTCTGTCCATGGGATTTCCCAGGCAGGGATACTGGAGTGGGTTGCCATTTCCTTCTCTGGAGGATATTCCTGATCCAGGGATCCAACCTGTGTTCCTGCATAGCAGGCAGATTCTTCACCACTGAGCCACCTGGAAAGCCCGTTTTTAAACAATAATCTTTCCATAATGAACAAATCATTCATGTTCATTGCACAACATTCAGAAAATTCAAACACAAAGAATAAAAATGACCTTTTGTTGCTCCTTTGCGAAATAACAAGCATTAACATTTTCATGTTGTCTTTCTGGTCTTTAAAAAAAACCTTTTTTTAAACTTTATTTTTCAACTTTTTTAGCCACATCATACCTGTGCTAATGCAAACACCCAGTTCTTCTCTCCCCCATCCCCTCCTCCTTGGCAGCCACAAGTCTGTTCTCTCTGCCTGTGAGTTTGTTTCTGTTTTGTAGATAAGTTCATTTGTGTAATAGCTCAGATTTCACACGTAAGTGCTGCCATATGGTATTTGTCTTTCCCTTTCTGACCTGCCTACCTTAGTGTGATAATCTCTGGGTCCATCCTTGTTGCTGCAGATGGCATGAGTAGTATTCCATTGCATGTATGCACCACACCTTCTTTATCTATTCATCTGTCAATGGACATTTAAGTTGTTTCCACGTCTTGGCTTTTGTGAATAGTGCTGCTATGAACATAGGGGTGCCTGTATCCTTTCAAGTTATGCTTTTGTCCAGACATGCCTAGGGATGAGATTGTTGGATTATATGGCAACTCCAATTTTAGCTTTTTGAGAAAACTGCATACTGTTTTCCATAGTGGCAATACCAATTTACATTCCCACCCACAATGCAGGAGGGTTCCCTTTTCTCCACACACTCTCCAGCATTTGCTCTTTGTAGACTTTTTAACGATGCTGACTGGTGTGAGGTAGGACCTCATTGTAGTTTTGATTTGCATTTCTCTAATAATTAGAGATATTGAGCATCTTTTCATGTGCCTGTTGGCCATCTCTAGGTCTTCTTTGGAGAAATGTCTATTTAAATATTCTGCCCATTTTCAATTGGGTTGTTTTTTTCTTTGTTGTGTTGTATGGGCTTAACTGGGCTTTCCTGGTGGCTCAGCAGTAAAAGAATCCACCTGCAATGTAGGTGCTATAGGAGATATGGGTTTGATGCTTGGATCGGGAAGATCCCCTGCAGAAGGAAATGGCAGCTCACTCCAGTATTCTTGACCTGGTGAATCCCATGGACAGAGGAGCCTGGAGGGCTACAGTCCATAGGGTCGCAAAAAGTTGGACGTGACTGAAGCAACTTAGCAAGTGTGCATATGCATGGGCTTAGTTAGCTTGGCTTTTAGATGAGGAAGTTGAGGCATAGAGAGGTTAAGTGCTTTGCCTAAGGTCACAGAGATAAGAAGTGGTGGAGCTGGTATTCTATGCCAGTTGGTTTCCAAGTCTCTGCATACAATCCTCTCTCTCTTTTTTAAAAGATTTTTTTGATGTGGATCATTTTTAAAATCTTTACTGAATTTGTTACAATATTGCTTCTGTTTTAGGCTGTGGTCTTTTGGCTGCAAGGCATGTGGGATTTTAGCTCCCCAATCTGGGATCAAGCCCGCACCCACTGCATTGAAAGGTAAAGTGCTAACCACTGGACCACCAGGAAAGTCCCTATAACTCTTATGAAGCCAGTCCAGCTGAGTGCAGGCAACTGGGAAACGGAGTGTAGTGGTAGGGTAAGTATGAACCATAATTTTAGTGCATTCATAGAGTCCCACGTCATGGGTAATAGACACCTGGCCGGTGTGTATTTTGAGGGAGCTCATTAGCCTTCAGAGTCTGCACAGAAATGATTATTCAAAACGAGATGTTATCTGGGACTTGCCTGGTTGTCCAGTGATTAAGACTCCCCACTTTCAATGCAGGGGTTGTGGGTTCAATCACTGGTGGTGAAACTAAGATCCCATAAGCCACCCAATGCCGCCAAGAAATTTAAAAAATAAAAACAACAAAAAATGAGACGTTACCTTTTAGAGGGACACTCTATATTTAGGAATAAAATGATGTGATGTGTTTGCTTCCAGAAAATCCTGGTTGGGAGCAGGGTGGGGTTGCACAATGGACACATGGGGTGTAAGTGATACAAAATCGGCTGCGAGTTGAGTTTGTTGAAGTTGAGTGGTAGATCTATGAGGGCTCTTTCTTCTTTTGAATTTGCTGAAAATTTGCCATGCTAAAACATTTTTTTAAAATCTCAAATCAGGGACTTCCCTGGTGGTCCAGTGTTTAAGGCTTCTTGCCTTTCAATGCAGGGGGTGCAGGTTCAATCACAGGTTGGGGAGCTAAGATTCTGTATGCTTCAGTTCAGTCGCTCAGTCCGACTCTTTGCGACCCCATGAATCGCAGCACGCCAGGCCTCCCTGTCCATCACCAACTCCTGGAGTTTACTCAAACTCATTTCCGTTGAGTCGGTGATGCCATCCAGCCATCTCATCCTCTGTCATCCCCTTCTCCTCCTGCCCCCAATCCCTCCCAGCATCAGGGTCTGTTCCAATGAATCAACTCTTTGCATGAGGTGGCCAAAGTATTGGAGTTTCAGCTTCAACATCAGTCCTTCCGATGAACACCCAGGACTGATCTCCTTTAGGTTGGACTGGTTGGATCTCCTAGGAGTCCAAGGGACTCTCAAGAGTCTTCTCCAACACCATACTCTCACATCCATACATGACCAATGGAAAAACCATAGCCTTGACTAGACAAACCTTTGTTGGCAAAGTAATGTCTCTGCTTTTTAATATGATGTCTAGGTTCGTCATAATTTTCCTTCCAAGGAGTAAGCGTCTTTTAATTTCATGGCTGCAATCACTATCTGCAGTGATTTGAGCCCCCCAAAATAGTCTGACACTGTTTCCACTGTCTCCCCATCTATTTCCCATGAAGTGATGATCTTAGTTTTCTGAATGTTGAGCTTTAAGTCAACTTTTTCGCTCTCCTCTTTCACTTTCATCAAGAGGCTTTTCAGTTCCTCTTCACTTTCTGCCATAAGGGTGGTGTCATCTGCATATCTGAGGTTATTGATATTTCTCCTGGCAATCTTGATTCCAGCTTGTTCTTCTTCCAGCCCAGAGTTTCTCATGATGTACTCTACATATAAGTTAAATAAGCAGGGTGACAATATACAGTCTTGACAGACTCCTTTTCCTATTTGGAACCAGTCTGTTGTTCCACGTCCAGTTCTAACTGTTGTTTTCTGACCTGCATATAGATTTCTCAAGAGGCAGGTCAGGTGGTCTGGTATTCCCATCTCTTTCAGAATTTTCCATAGTTTCTTGTGATCCACACAGTCAAAGGCTTTGGCATAGTCTATATGCTTAATGGTCAAAAAATCAAAACACTAAAAAATAGCAATACTGTAACAAAGTGCTGCAGTCCACCGGGTGGAAAAGAATGGGACAGGACTTAGGGACTGAACAATAACAACTGTAACAAATTCAATAAGAAAGACTTTAAAAATGGCCCACATCAAAAGACTCTTTAAAAAAAAATGAATCTCAGACCTAATAGGTAGCTCAAGAACGACCTTTGAAGGGACATTCTAACCTAGAGTATAAAGGTTCAGAGTAGAATATAAAGATCCAGTTCTTTGTTGGGTTTCTAACTTCCTAATTGAAAATAATATTATTTATTTATTTCTATTCTGATCTAAAAAGCTTTCCCAGTGTTGCTCAGTCTGCTGAAACATTCTCAAAGGGCACAGCTTCTCATTAAGAACCTGTCAAATGAGTGTTAGAGGTTTGTTCATTCAAGAACCCTTATTTTTGGAACTTTCCTGGTGGTCCAGCGGCTCAAACTCCGCACTCCCATTGCAGGGGCCCAGGTTTGATTCCTGATTGGGGAACTGGATCCCACATACCACAGCTAAGACCCAGCACTGCCAAATAAATAAATTAAAAAAAATATATATATATATATATATATATATATATCTTTTTTTAAAAAAGAACTGTTATTTTCCTCTTGAACAGAGGGATGAGCTGTGAGGGAGATGGCTGCATTTGGGAGAAAAGACACATGAAGGAAAAGTTAAGCACCCAAGGTAATTGTTCAGCAACTGTTGTTTCAAACCTTAGTGGAGGCTAAACGGTAAGGGAGGAGGGCATGGGTGTGTCCCCCAACCAAGGGCTTAGCGTTCCTGAGGGAAGGAGGACCCAGCCTGGAGCCTGGATCAGGGATGACTCCCTTTTTCGTCACTCACATCCTTCTCATCTGACCGTCCTGGGGCTCAGGACTGTACACAGGGCTCAAGATGGGACACTTTGCAAAGAGAGCTCTACTTTCTAGCCAGCCAGACCAAAACCAGAAAGCACAGCTCAGCAGAGACACAGTCATAGAGAATAGACCTGTGGACACAGTGGGGTATGGAGCGAGTAGGATGGAGTGAGAGAGTAGCATCAAAACATATATATATACCCCTGTGTAAAACAGATAGCCAATGGGAATTTGCTGCATAGTACAGGGAGCTCAAGCCCCAGTCTGTGACAACCTAGCGGGGTGGGAGGGAGATTCAAGAGCCAGGGGATCGATGTGTGCTAACAGCCAGTTCACATTGTTGTGAAGCAGAGACCAACACAACATTGTAGGTCAATTATCCTACAATGAAATTTTAAAAAAATAAAGCATTCAGCACCACCCCTTATCCTTATATGGTGGCAAATATTCAGATAAAACCGGCAGCTGTGTGTTTTTTCAGTGACTTTACTTGCCAGGAAGACTAGCAGTATATGGCATGTATGTAACATATTCCAAACTGGATTTTACCTTATAAGAGATTAGATTAATAGAAACCAGAAGTGGGATGGGCTCGGCCCACAGACAATAAACTAGTGGAATACACGTCTGTGTGCTCTTGCTCAGGGAAGAGTCTAGGTCTCTTAGGACCACATGCTCATATTCCGCCAATGGAAGCTCCGTGAGGTTCCCCTGCTCCCTCGGGCATCCGGCCTCCTCCCGGCCTGGAAAGCCAGTGTTTAGTTTCTGACGTCACTCACTGCGCTGTATGCTAGGATTCAGGGCAACACAGACAGCTGAGATCCTGAGCACTGTAATTACACCTCTTCCTGGATTTCAAGTAGGGCCGATTTGTGAATATGCCAGATTTTTCCGGGTCTGGAGGCAGCAGGCAAGGGCGGCTAGTGAGGCTGCCAGTTTCCTGCTCCGCCCCCACTGCTGTGGCCTGTGTACCCCAGGGCCAGAGCTCAACGGCAGGGTCACTGCAGCCTCCTGCCTGCCCACACCTGTGCAGTTGGCTTGGGGTGTTGATGGCACAGCTCCATGGGGGAGAGAAATGGAAAGGTGAGCCCAAGGTGGGCATCTCTGGAGTCAGGTTCTCTGTGGATTCATGAGAAGCAGCCAGGAGGGCCTGATTGAGGCTCTGCAGGACTCCAAGGGTACCATCCTCTGAATAATTGGGGTCCCGGGTAGTAGTCTCCATTTTGTTCAGAAAGGCACACACACTGGCGTAGACAAGGCAGAGATTTAAGCCCTCCTTGCTGCCAGTCAGTCCTGAGAGGCAAGACTGAAAGGCGGCAAAAACCCAGTTTTCAAAAGCTGACTGCCTGGGCAGAGACCTGGGCCTGGAGTAAGGCACCCCCACAGGTGAGGCATCCAGGCGTTTCTTTGGTGGGCAGACACCGGCTTTCCGTGGGCACTGAACTTTTCATAGCTCCCCAAATTCCACAACATGGACTTTTCCAGCTTTGACATGGGAAGACCATTCCCCACCCCTCTTATTCTTGGCTTTAAAGACATCTCCCAATTTCACTAAAGTCTGTTAAGAGTTCATTTTTGAGATGCAGATGTAGAGAACAAACATAGGGATACCAATGAGGAAGGGTTGGTGGTGAGATGAATTGGAGGTTGGGATCGACATATATACACTAATGTGCATAAAGCTGGATAGCACAGGGAACTCTACTCAGCGCTCTGTGGTGATCTAAATGGGAAGGAAATCCAGAAAAGAGGGGATGTATGTATATGTACAGCTGATTCACTTTGTTGTGCAGTAGAAACTAACACAGGCTTCCACGTGGCACAATGGTAAAGAATCTGCCTGCCAATGCAGGGGATGAAAGAGATGTGGGTTCGATCCTGGGGTCTGGAAGTTCCCCTGGAGAAGGGAATGGCAACCTGCTCCAGTATTCTTGCCTGGGAAATCCCATGGACAGAGGAGTCTGGCGGGCTACAATCCATGGGGTATAGAAGAGTCAGACAAAACTGAGCATGTACAGACACAGAAACCAACACAGCATTGTAAGCAGCTATACTCCAATAAAAATTAAAGGAAAGAGTTCATTTCACCTGTGAGATCTGTTCTCTTGCTTAGGTGAAAAGGACCAGGGAAAGACCTTATTTTTCCCTGGAAAGGCTGAACAAGTGAAGCTTGAGTCTTGTTATCTTAAACCTGAATGTAACCTGAGGTGTATCCAATTGAAAAAAATGCCAAGTAAGGAATGAAGTTCTCCCAACTTACTGCACTGGTCAGGTGCAATCTGGAGCATTGTTAACTTCTACGTTTCACCTTTAAAAGAAATGCTGTCTATTTTATACTTCCAGATGAGAGACCAGAATGTGGAGAGATCAAGAACTCTGTTCCAAAAGGACTGATCAGCAATGACAAGTCCAGGGGAGATAAAACTGGAGGGGACAGGAGAGCGAGTCCAAAGCAATGAAGGCCAAGTTTGGCTCAGAAAGGCAGAATCAGGGCAAAGGCTGGGGAGAGGAAAGCTGGAAGACAGATTTTTACTTTCTAGCAGCAAGAACCTTCTAA